TTGTAGAGATACAGCTGAGTAAAGCTCAGTTTGGATTTAGGAAAGGAAAAAGTTGCACAGACGCCCTTTTCACCCTAAGACAACTTAGTGAAAAGGCAATAGAATATAACAAACAACTCAATATAGCATTCATTGACCAAGAAAAAGCCTTTGACAGGGTAGACAGGAACAAACTATGGAATATATTGAACGACTATGGAGTACAAGGTCAGCTACTAGACAACATCAGATCTCTGTACCAAACAAGCTCAAGCGTAGTTAGAACAAATGTTGGTGTGACAGACGAATTCATACTAAGAACAGGAGTAAGACAGGGTTGTGTACTATCACCACTACTATTCAATATATACATGGACAGAATAACAACAGCAGCAAACCATGTAATGATAAGCGAACTGTTAACTACACCAAGCAGTGAGACAGAGTTAGTTGAAAGAGATCATTATAATGAAAACATACACGCCGATCCTGATGGAGAAAAAGATCACGACGTGCGAAATGAGATGCTTACGTAAGGCTGCCAATGTCACAGGGAGAGACAGAGTTCGAAACGAGAACATTAGATCAATTGTAGGAACCACACCATGCCTGCAATACATAAAGAAGCAACAAATAGAGTGGTTTGGCCACTTGATGTGAATGCAAACCGACCAACTGCCTCTACGAGCATACAACGAACAGCACTACTGCCCTAGAGCAAGAGGCAGACCGAGAGTACGATGGATAGACAATATATCAGAGATCCTGAGGCAACACGTGCAACACACCTGGCCCAGGATAGAAAACTGTGACTCCCCACTACGCTGTGAGGCAATTGTGGACAAGACAAGACAAGATCGGCAATGGATTCTAACAAATGGATGAAAATTTTTTTCACAAATACTGGAAATTAAAACCAACTATTTAAAAAAAAGCAAGTTCAATCAATGCTGGGACTGATAAACTATGAAAATAAATTTCTACATGATTTTGCTGGCATGACAGCAGCGTTAACTTTACTCGTGTAGAAGGGCTTGCCTACAAAGATAGCATGGACCCCGCAACTGGAACACATTCTGACCAACAGCCAACAGCTTTTTTTTTTCTAAATGACTGATCTTAAAGTTACCCTACCTAAAATAACATCTTATAATGGGATGCAAGGGGGTATTCCAAATCATAGAACATGGGAACATTCTCCACCCAGTACTTTATTCCAGTCTGAAGCTGTCAAAAGTGGAGAAATGTTATGCCACAGTAGAACTTGAGGCACTTTCTTATCGGGGGGGGGGGGGGGGGGTGGGTGATAACTTCACCCGTCCCTCCCCACATATATCTAAAATGTAAATCAGTCTATTTTCAGATCTACCCAGGCAGAGCAGGCAGTGTGCAGGACTCAACTCACCAAGGACCTCTTCCTCAACCTAGCAAGCTATCTGTCTCTCTCCATCTTCCGACCTAACTATAAAATATCTTTGCACCTTCGGGCCTTCTAATTTTTTTTGCAACCTTTGTTACCTCCTCTACTTATCTTACGGCTGCACACAACAACAAGATTGTGACAGTCGTCCTGTGGGGGCCGTGTTTTAGGGCTCAGTGTGCAGGACAGTTTGTTTTGTGGCGGTGTGACTGCGGACTGACTTGGTACTAACACAGATGAACAGTGCAACAGCTAGCGAATAGCCAATTAAACAGGAACCAGGCCCCTCAGAACCAGAACTTAGGCAACAAATGAACAAACTCAGGTGAAAGTGCTCACCACAAAGGAAGATAAATAAAATAAGATAGCAAAGAAACCGTCCTTGAAAAAGCAGGCCATCAGGTGGCTAAAAAAGGACAGCTTGGAATTTTTGTTTGATTTTATACGATACGATACGGGGGAAAGGGGGGGGGGGGGTTTATAAAATTTGCAAAATATTTGCTTGGCAGAAAGTTTATAGTTTAGACAGACAACAAACCACTGACAGTCTTTAAAAAAGGAAACACTGAATAATCATCGTATTAACAGATGACATCTGCTTTTGCAGAACTACAGCTTTGAATTAGTCCATATCAGGGGCATAAATAATGCCTGGCTGACATCCTGTCATGTCTTTGAACAGATGCTAGACATTAGAGATAAATTATTAGATTTAAAAAGACCAGACAATCATCTGGAAATTTAAACACAGGTAGCACCAAAAGAACATAACGTTGGGCACCATGAACCGAAATGATACATAGTATCATTTTGAAAAGCGGGAGTGAAACTGTCATGAGTCAACTTTACCACACTGAGAGAAAGACAAACATTGACTAGACTCTGACTCATAACAGCAGACAGGTCAATTACTGGTCAGACAAGACCAGCAGGGCTGTAAGGGTAACCGAGTATTACGGGTGAGGGGGAAGTTACAAGGGGACTTGACAAACAGGTAGAGCAATACACGGAAGTTAGTAGTTTGACAGTCCAGTGAATGGATTAAATGTGGGAATTACTTTTGCTTGGCATGGACTGGATTTAAAGCTGTGGAGAGGAAAGCAGCAGTAGTTGTTCATATTTGTGACAAGTGTTTCTTTTGTGTAGCTGGAAAAATAAAGATAGTTGTGGTAGCCAGGATGATACATAATTATTGCTCGAGATGCCTCCGCTAGTCTCTCATGACTGTTCATATTGCTAGTATGATTTGTGAACAGCTATACCAGCGTACTGTTGATATACTTAGCCAGTGACTACCTGGGATTAGTGTGCTTGTGAGGTATATGAATAAATAGGTGGCTACTCAGTAGTCGATAACTTTGTGTGGGAGCCAGACTAACCCCACAATTATAATGAGTACTTAAAAAACATTCTTGAGAATTGGAAACACAGTAATCAGTGTTTACATGTTAACGAAAGTGTGGGCATACTAACACAAATGACAACGGTACCTCTGTCACACTTATAAGAAAGTGTTTGACACCTTTCAGTCAGTGCAACACCACATAACTCGATGATTCATATTTCACCCTTCAAGTTTTGGAAGGATTCACTCTAGAGTATAAGTAGTCCTGCAGGAATCCACTCTAGAGTAAGCGTAAGATTTTGAAATATCCACTCCAGAGAGTATGGGTAAAGTCTTCAAGGATCCACTCCAGAGATTATGGGTAAAGTTATTGAGGGATCCACTGTAGAGTATTTGTAGTCTTTGAGGGATCTATTCTAGAGCATGGTAGTCTTGGAGGGATCCATTTTAAAGAATGGTAGTTTTGGAGGGATTCATTCTAGAGAATGGTAGTTTTGGAGGGATCCACTCTAGAGTATGGAAGTGTGGTAGTACCAAGCCTACAGCATAAATGAAAGTCCTGTGTGCATTAGGATGTCCTGCAGGATGACACAGGCCACGCCACCAGTCAAGTCCTGTCTGCTGAAGATATGGATCTGGAATTGTATACATCAGATGGTGTAGAAAACAAGCTGATATTAAGAATGAATTAATGGGAAGAAGACCCATGCAGATACAACTGATTGTTTTCAACAGAATCTTTATTACCACACCAAATAGGAATACTGTGGTTCACAGCTGAAATAACTCAGTCACACAGAAAAGTCATTCCCATATTAAAAACAGAGTTAAAATAATAGTCATACAAAAGGGGCATAACATGACAAACACAGAGTTGAAATTTATGAGCCACCCTCTTAACCATAGCCCCGAGGACTCTTTACATTGCGATCCTCTCTCCCATGCTATCCAAACTTTCAACCGGCATCCAGGTCTCTGTGGCCCCATGACGGTTCCTGCTCCGATTGCAGCCACAATATTACTGCTGTCCTGCAGGGAATAAAACCTTGCCCTTGGCTACAGCCCCTGGATAAAACATTCTTGACAATAATTTCATATGTGTAACATATCTAACAAATGAGATCATTGTTACCTGATCTGGCTCCTAAGTTAAAGTCAGCCTAAAATAAGTACCAGGAACTGTACAATCAGTATGAAGCTAGCTGGTATGATTGTGACCATGTCACCTACCGAGCGTGGTTTGGTCCTTAAAGATATCTGCCTAGTGTCAGCAGAAGAAAAATACTGATATCCTCCTTCACGATCTGAGCACAGAAGAGAACTGGCTTATTAACAGCATACGGTCCTGACAGCTGAGCTATTTTTGTCATATTAAACATCACGGTGATGGAGGGCAGTTTCTGGAAAGTGATGCAGAGACTGATCTCCACAAATGTGGACACAAGATACGGCTGATGCACTGGCTATGAAAGCACACTGGGTTGGAGCAAGAGACACTTTCAGGTGTGGCATTATGAATAATGACAGCAAGATGCTGACTGATGATGATAATGAGTGTCATAAACTAAATACGCTTCATGGTGTTGACCAGGGTGTTTTACTTACAGCTCGGGGTGATCAGTCTCACAGGATCATAGTCCAGGATTTCCCAGGAAGCAACGGTACTGGACACACCCACCTCCAGAATATATGAAGGCTCAACACTTCACAGCTCAATGCCAGTATCTGACAAGCGACCCAGTGAGACTAGCCAGGTTGGATCCAACCTAAGTGCTCTCTGACAGAAGGTAATGTGTGTTGCTACTTCACCCAAATACGAACTGCCTGGTTATACCACACTGACTGACATGCCAGAGAGTCACACATAACCACAACATAATGCTGGCATCTCCTCACATACTTCTGGAGCTTAGCCACTCATGCAAGACACTTCACTCAAGTATATTGTTGTCATCTCTAAAGACTTCTACATCATAATGTCGCAATCTCCTCATAACACATCCCTGGTTCAGCAGTTCACATGTGACCGTTACCACAAATACAACGCTCTGTCTTCACATGACTTCTCCAGCTGAGCTGTTCACACAATACATTTTACTCAAGTCACTGCCATTGGAACTCTGCACTGGCTGCTGAAGATGGGGACCAAGCATTTATAGGAATGTCCTAACTGCTGTTATGGTGATTCTTTTCTTGTCAACTCTACTCAAATATAGTGCTGTAAATCTCCACATAAGACATCCTCAGTTCAGCAGTTCATGCGGGACATTTGCGAATGTGAAAATTCACTTTGTAGTCTGCAGCAGTTCGCTGAACACTAATCACAAATGGCTCAAATGGATGAAATATGAAAGCTACCAGACGGCGGTTGATTGGCGGCAACTGTCTCTCTGTTGCCCCAGTAGTCATTTTGAAACGAAGCATGCCAGAGTCACGAGTGAAAAACCTGTCATGGGAAAAACAAATTATGCTTTCAAAGTCGGCGGCATTTGTTCTGTGTGACGACAGAGGATATTTTAACATTCTTTTCTAAATAATTAGTATAAAATTTAAAGTTACTTTACTGGCAAGTATTTAGTGGTACACACTGCAGAGATATATCTTCTTCTTCTTCTTCGCGTTCTCAGCTGTAAATTCCGCCAGAAAGTTCTGGCTGTTTGTCCAATTCTAGATTCTAGTTCTGTTCCAGTGTGCTGCGTGCACATCCATTTTACAGATTTGAATCATGTGTATACAGACTTTTTTTTTCCATGTTTCTCAGGCAGATGCACTCCGACTTAGAAGAAAGCCTTATAGTCAACTTTTATGACACGCTTTCGGGTAGGCCGTGGGTCTATTCTTGTCTTCCCAAAATGAAGCCTTAGAATCCACATGAGCAGCAGGGATCTATTAGCTTACATCTCCAAGAGCAGTGGCACTGGCTTTCAAACAGTAAGAACATCTAGTATTGGAGGTCAGGTTCTATGGAATAAGATGGGAAAATCTGCATTTTAGAAGATATCTCTTATGTCACAAGGCACTGACTGTCAGAGGATACTAAAATGTTATAGAAAACCTGTCTGCTGTGTGGATGTGAATCTTGGATAGGGAACCTGTCTGCTGTGTGGATGTGAATCCTGGAATATGAACAAACAAATGAAGAAGATCTGAGGCATCTGGAACAAATAATGTAAATATCTGAGACTGTCAGAGTAACTAATCATCCTGAAAAAGCTCACGAGAGTAGACAATTACACAAGTTATAAAAAGAGACAAAGATGATTCTCTGATCATGATTTGAGAAGAGATCTTTCAGAGATGTAAAGCAGATATCAGATACTCTGCAGAGCTCTCTGAGCTCAGAAATCCGTAGTGTGTCAAAGACTGGCACTGAAACTTGGTGAACTAAAGCAAGAAATATAAGGATACACCCATTCCATGATCCAGCACAGCTCATAGACTTGACAGGACCATTCCATGATCCAGCACAGCTCATTGACAGGAACCCAGTCTCCATGTCACTCTGGAACACTGAGAAAGTAATTCAGAGCCCACAGTTGTGAGTCCTAGCAGAATAAGAGGAGTATGTTGTCTATAATACCCTGGATGTAATATTTTCTATATAAATGTTCTGGTATTTGTTTTACAAGATGGACTGACCCAGATCTATATGACCGGATAAATACTGTACCTCGAGGGTAAAGCATCATCAAGTGCCTTGCCGACTGGTGTGATTAGTTGTGCCTCTTCACAACCTGTGATCTCAGAGGAAATACATGGGGACTTCTGGTCCAGCTAGTTGAACAATCTTCCAGTGGGTGACTGAACATGGATCGCTCCTGGTAAACCAGGATTTGAAGTGTTGTTGAGAGTGATCCTTGTCTCTGGTAAACCAGGATTTGAAGTGCTGTTGAGAGTGATCCTTGTCTCTGGTAAACTTGGATATGAAGTGCTGTTTTGTGTTGTGAGAGTCCCCTGTCTCTGGTAAACCCGGATATAAAGTGTTGTGAAAGTCCCCTGTCTCTGGGAAACCATTATATGAAGTGTTGCTGTAAGAGTCCAGTGTCTCTAGTAAACCAGGATATGAAGTGCTGTTTTGTGTTTTGAGAGTCCCCTGTCTCTGGTAAACCCGGATATAAAGTGTTGTGAAAGTCCCCTGTCTCTGGGAAACCACAATATGAAGTGTTGCTGTAAGAGTCCCGTGTCTCTAGTTAACCAGGATATGAAGTGCTGTTTTGTGTTTTGAGAGTCCCCTGTCTCTGGTAAACCCGGATATAAAGTGTTGTGAAAGTCTCCTGTCTCTGGGAAACCACGAAATGAAGTGTTGCTGTAAGAGTCCCGTGTCTCTAGTAAACCAGGATATGAAGTGCTGTTTTGTGTTTTGAGAGTCCCCTGTCTCTGGTAAATCCGGATATAAAGTGTTGTGAAAGTCCCCTGTCTCTGGGAAACCACGATATGAAGTGTTGCTGTAAGAGCCCCGTGTCTCTAGTAAACCAGGATATGAAGTGCTGTTTTGTGTTTTGAGAGTCCCCTGTCTCTGGTAAACCCGGATATAAAGTGTTGTGAAAGTCCCCTGTCTCTGGGAAACCATTATATGAAGTGTTGCTGTAAGAGTCCCGTGTCTCTAGTAAACCAGGATTTGAAGTGCTGTTTTGTGTTTTGAGAGTCCCCCGTCTCTGGTAAACCCGGATATAAAGTGTTGTAAAAGTCCCATGTCTCTGGGAAACCATGATATGAAGTGTTGCTGTAAGAGTCCCGTGTCTCTAGTAAACCAGGATATGAAGTGCTGTTTTGTGTTTTGAGAGTCCCCTGTCTCTGGTAAACCTGGATATTAAGTGTTGTGAAAGTCCCCTGTCTCTGGGAAACCACCATATGAAGTGTTGCTGTAAGAGTCCCGTGTCTCTAGTAAACCAGGATATGAAGTGCTGTTTTGTGTTTTGAGAGTCCCCTGTCTCTGATAAACCCGGATATAAAGTGTTGTGAAAGTCCCCTGTCTCTGGGAAACCAGGATATGAAGTGTTGCTGTAAGAGTCCCCTGTCTGGTAAACCAGGATATGAAGTGTTGTGAAAATCCTCCATCTCTGGTAAACCAGGATATAAAAAGCTGTTGTGAGAGTTCCCTGTCTCTGGTAAACCCGGATATGAAGTGCTGTTGTGAAAATCCCCCATCTCTGGTAAACCAGGATATGAAGTGCTGTTTTGAGAGTCCCCTGTCTCTGGTAAACCCGGATATAAAGTGTTGTGAAAGTCCCCTGTCGCTGGGAAACCATGATATGAAGTGTTGCTGTAAGAGTCTCCTGTCTCTAGTAAACCAGGATATGAAGTGCTGTTGTGAGAGTCCCGTGTCTCTGGTAAACCAGGATATGAAGTGCTGTTGTGAGAGTCCCCTGTCTCTGGTAAACCAGGATATGAAGTGCTGTTGTGAAAATCCCCTGCCTCTGGTAAAGCAAGATATAAAGTGCTGTTGTGAAAATCCCCCGTCTCTGGTAAACCAGGATATAAAGTGTTGTGAAAATCCCCCGTCTCTGGTAAACCAGTATATAAAGTGCTGTTGTGAGAGTCCCCTGTCTACAAACCCAAGTATAGAAGAGAAGCAAGAAAGCCAGCTTACCTAATGGGGTGGTCGCTGCAAGTTTTGGGCCTCTCTAACTGTGACACCCACTTGTCATCATAACTAAACAATGCCAAGTCCAAGTATGGAGAACAACTGTATGACTGGGCACTGATTGGCAGCTGTGTCAGCATACGAGATATGGCTTCTCTCTGTCCACCATTCTTGGCAACAATCAGTGTCCATTTGAAAATCTGCTGAATGCGTCTGGCATGGACTGATGATGATGGAGACGAAGGAAACTGAGGTTGCAGGTGAAGCCACGAATTACGGAAATGATCATGGAAATTTTCCATTAGCTCCAGAAGTTCAGGTGACGTATGTTCATAAACGCCTAGAATCTGGTAGAGAAAATATATCAGAATCAATATTCCAATAAATTATTTCTATAAGACTACAAACTTCCAATGTGTTCAGAACACAACAGAGAAACATGGAAGGAAGTATTAACTAGTACATAATCTCACATACATGCCTGAATTTTCACAGACATTCTGACGGAAACAATGGTCCAGAGAGACAGACAGACATCAGACTGATACTGTCAAGATAATTTTGTCCAGGAAGACAGACGACATCCGAATGGTAATGTCTACATAGTTGTCCACTTACTGCAGGTAGAAAATCTACTAGATATGTTCACAGCAACAGCAACCAAGTGGAAATGAAACAGGATCAACGCTGAGTGAGATGAACAGCAATGAAAATACAAACAATACTGATAATTAACATTAACTAACTCTCTTTGTGTGCCCCACATTCTCATACACTGACTGGTCAGTGGAGAGATGCTGTGGTCATATCACAGTTCCAACCAGGCAGCTGGTTATTCTTTATTTTAAATAAACTGCGCCCAAAAAAAATATTCCCCGACCTATTTCGGTGAACCTCGTCAGGCGCATCACTACAGGGTTAAATCAACATATAGTGAAGCATACAAATTAATCCTTTTTCGCTGAAATACATAAATCACATCAATTTATACTGTACATCTCTTCACCGAAGATTCAATATCGGTCATGTGATGACCAGGGTAAATTCAAACTGTGCCTTCAGAATGAGTTCCCACATATGAAAAAGACTTTACTAAAATTAGCCAAAGACTATAACAAAATGAACTTTGCTACTTTATGTTAACAAAATCACTACATAATAAATTTTAAGTTACTATGGCTAATCGTGTCCTGGTTTTCAAGCGGCTTTATCTTCCATCTTCTTCTAGAACTTCATCTGCCTCATTTTCACATAGCTGATGACTGGTTGAGAATAAGTACACAGAAAGTGAAAGAAAACCAGAGGGAAACAATCTAGACATAATTTTGACCTCAATAGCCACAGCACAGGTTCAAAATATGAGGAAAAAGTCATGACTTTATCTCTCCCCCCCCCCCCCCCCCCCCCCTTCTCTCTCTCTCTCTCAGAAACCAAGTGGGGTGTTGTCTACTTACCTCAGTTGTATTCATGTTGTACACAACAAACAAGGACGGCATGTTGAATGGATCACCGTTTCTGAAAGTCACGACTTCTTCTATAGCATACTTGATGAGCAGGTGTTCCTCATCCAACAACTGCAGTTTTCCCATTCGCAGATTCAAGATGTCATTCATGGCCCAATAGAAAGATCTGACTCCTTGGTCCAGGTGACCGTTGCTGGCTGCCTTGTACAAATACACCAACAGTCTGTGCTTCAAGGAGTTGATTGACTGTCAGATAAAGAAATTCAGATATTATTATGTCAGGGTAGTTTTTTCCCCACTCATGTCATTCCAGTGGGAAAGTTTTCCACTGATGTCATCGAGAGTGTTTTAGTGCAGAGATCTGCACCCCTAGTACATACTGTCATGCCTAACAATGCCAGATAATCAATGACTAAAGGATTTCTTTGACTGCTGAAGGTGATGTAATCACAGGCAGGATTGCTGAAAGTCATGTAATCACAGGCAGGATTGCTGAATGTGATGTAATCACAGTTAGGATTGCTGAAAGTCATGTAATCACAGGTAGGATTGCTGAAGGTAATGTAATCACAGGCAGGATTGCTGAAGGTGATGTAATAACAGGCAGGATTGCTGAAAGTCATGTAATCACAGGCAGGATTGCTGAATGTGATGTAATCACAGTTAGGATTGCTGAAGGTGATGTAATCACAGGTAGAATTGCTGAAGGTGATATAATCACAGGCAGGATTGCTGAAGGTGATGCAATCACAGGTAAGTTTGCATCAGCAACTTTCAGTTACATTTCTATTGGCCATTGTGTCACATGTGTGAACTGACAGTTATTAAATAAACTAGTAGCGTATATCTTGAAAACTAGAGCCAATCAACATTTGTAAATGCCACTTTCGTTTTTGGCCCAACCAAAATTAGTTCAGATCAGCTATTTCCATTTCTGAGACATTGTGGCTGCTGACCAGTGTTATGGAGTCAAGTGATTCATAATGTGTGGCAGTAAGGTGCTCCAAGAATAAGTGATGCCAGATTTCTGAGAAAGGAATGGTCATAGAAGAACTTAACTCTGAAATGCCTTTCACTCATGAAAAATACCTACCTATGATCATTCTGACACATCTTTTAGGCTTTTAATAAGCTTCAAATTATATATATAAATATCCCATAATTAGACGAACGATGAAGAAGAAAATTATATCCCATAATGAAACACAGTAGCAGGTGAGCACCTACCTGATCAAATATGTTGTAGGATCTGTTGCTTGTAGGTGGATAAAGATGGCAAGTCTCTCTGTAAAAAGCTTCATCATCATCATAACAAAATCTGCCGATAGTTCGAATGTCAACAAAAGTTCCTTGCGGAGAGATGTGAAACACGTGAATCACCTGCTGCTGCACCGACAGCACTGTCAGGATGTTTCCGTACAAGCAGATACCTTGATTGTGGGACAGGTAGATCTTGTCCAGGCGGAAGCGCCTCTGGTCGCAGACAACACCTGAAAGATGTCGACACAAACTATTTAAACAAAGAAGACACAAACTATTTAAACAAAGAAGACACAAACAATAGACCGCATTGCCTGGTATATTTCACTGTATCTCGTCAGGAGCATACTACAGTAACAATTACATAAATGAAGCAAATAAGTGAATCCTTTATAACTGAAGTACAGTTTCAACAACGATCAAACATGACTGCCTGTTTTTACCAGGGCAGCCGTAAACAAAGAACCACCTCTTTCTGAATACAGAGTTCCAGGCGCAGGTAACCAATCACCTTGGCTTCGAGAAATCTTAGCGTTCTGCCATTGGTTGACGTATGAAGGATTTGAAATGGGTTATTTTTAGTCACCACGTGTCCAGATTTTAGAAGATGACGTGCTATTGCAGAGGAGTGAACTTTGCGGCCAGTATTCTCATTTTTAATATTATATTGCATGGCTTTTTCCAGCCATACTGGAATGTGCTCAGCGACTCGTTTCTCCAGGCGTCGATCAGTTCTGCCCACATAAGCAGCTTCACAGCTACATTTAAACTGGTAGATACAATTAGATTTGGCGTACGTCGACACTTGTTGTTTCACCGAGGGCATTGACACAGTGGTAGTTTTAAAACTGATAATAGGCAACGCGGCGTAGAAAGTTTGGCTGACTGCTTTTTTAAGATGGTCGTATAGCCGTTTAATAACATCATCCCCTCGTTAGGTTAGATGTATGTAGACTTGCTGTTTGGGGACTGACGTTTCTGCAGTAGTTGGTTGAGGAGGTTGGCAGTGGCGTTTAATAAAACCAACTGGGTATCCGTTCAATATTAGCGTTTATTTTAAGGTTTCTTGTTCAGACTGTAGCGTATCAGTGGAGCAAATCTTTCTAGCGCGGTTGAATAATGTTCGTTTGTACTGGATGGGTTTTGTATTTATGCAAATAGCCGCCCACAGGACAATTTGATAGCATTTAGTAGAAAAAGAAAAACTGGTATTTTACTCCCGACTGCATCCTCAGTTTGGTCTGAAACTCTGAGTGACACGAAAGAGTTTAGATTTTAGTTTGATTTTTTTAGTTTGAAATAGTACATAGAAGCAGAATTCATTGAAACCATTCTAAGGGCTTTACGAGGTTTGAGGTTTGAACAACAGATCAACATCACAGCACACAGGCAGTAACCCAAAAGTGCTCCGTTCTTTTTCTAACTCAAGTCTGAGTTCGAAGAAGCTCTGCACAGTACACATGCTCTGTAGCACCGGCGAGGATCCTGAAATACTTTGGGTAGATTTTTAACTCTAAATTTTGCCCGGGCAGCGTTGTTAGGCTACTCTTTTCAATTTCTAACTGCCAAGAGATTTTTTACATGCACAACAATGCACACAGGTGTCCGATTTCACTACCCAGAGACCAGGGTGAATTACTAGAAATCCAAGTCCACGTGAAAACAATTCCAGCCCTTACTGGGGATTGAACCCGGAATCTCTAGCACTTAAGGCAGATACCATGCCTTGAGACCATGCAGCCCCCTTTACTACAAAAGGGCTCTACTACAAAAGCAGGAAAGAAACAACAAAATTACACAAAGCTTTCATTTTGAATGAATTATGCACAGTTGATTGGTCAGAAAAAAATCTTTATAGTCATTTAGCCAAAGATCCTATTGTTTAGGTAAGCAACGAATGGCATCCACAAAAAAGATTTTGTTGGTTGCTCACTGAACTAGGTCCATGGTAAAAAAAAAGGTTAAAAAGTAAAGGACCCTTTCCACGCCTTTAGGTGTATAGGGCATATAGGGCTAGACCTATATTTTCTAGACCAACGGCACAAGATGGGTGACGTGGTCAGCATCACACCGGCCGCCTCTACTCCCAGGAACTGCAAGGTCCAAGGTGCCCACTGTAAACAGATTTTCCTTGGTTGCAGTTTCTTGTGAACAATCTGTTGAACTGCCCCAACTGACAGATCACATTCTTTTGCCAGCTAACGGATGCTTCAGAAAAGTTCACCTGCATGTATTGCTGGATCAATTTTGGCACTGATTCTTTTACTGGCAACAATATGCTTTGACACGGCAGTGGAAGTTCTGTTGTGAACTCACATCCTTTCAGAAACAACTGTGCCCAGGCTGTCATTGTTGTCTTCAACACACATTTGTCCCTGTATGTTGCCTGCATTCTTCAATGAATGTCCACTGGTTGATATCCTTCACACGAAAGAGACTATGAGCTTCATTGGATGGATTCTGGATCAACCGGGCCATTTTCTCCAGTCAGAAACAGAAGCTATGCATTATGAGATGATGAGTACAGGAGCTTTTATTCACTGGTCAGTACTTATCACATGACTAACATGATCATGTTGAAAACATGCAATTATGTGCAGTGTGAACAAGTTTCAAATTAACCTTCCTAATAGTTATAGTGTGGTTCTCTTGGTGACAAGAAAAATTATATAGTTTAAGTGTGATTCTCTCGGTGACAAGAAAAATTCTATAGTTTTAGTGTGATTCTCTCGGTGACAAGAAAAATTATATAGTTTTAGTGTGATTCTCTCAGTGACAAGAAAAATTATATAGTTTTAGTGTGATTCTCTCGGTGACAAGAAAAATTATATAGTTTTAGAGTGATTCTCTCGGTGACAAGAAAAATTATATAGTTTTAGTGTGATTCTCTTAGTGACATCAAAAAGTATACTTTTAGTGACAATAAAAAGTGTATATTTTTAGTGTGATCTCAACAAGTATACACATTGTGTCATTCTTTCAGTAATAAGAAAAAGCATACTGTTTTAGTGTGATTTTCTCAGTGACATGAAAAGTAAACATTTTCAAAAATAAAAAGTACATTTTTTGGGTAATTCTTTCAGTGACAAGAAAAATCATACCGTTTTAGTGTGACACTCTCAGAAGCATAAAAAAGTATGCTGTTTTAGTGTGACACTCTCAGAAGCATAAAAAAGTATGCTGTTTTAGTGTGATTCACCCAGAAGCATAAACAAGTATACTGTTTTAGTGAGGGATTCTTAAAATAAAAAGCATGAAACAGAATACTGCTTGAGAGTAATTCTGCACTGATTCTAACAAAACATTTATTGTCCAACTGATAATAAATCCAACAAACTGCTGTAATTTGTCTGTAGCTGTTGTCCATACAACTAGATGACCTGCATAACTTGCTGTACTGATGCCATGGAGCAGACCTTTGAGAAAGTCATTGACGTGTAGATGAAATACTGCAGATGACAGGGTTCTATCTTGAGATCAGTAACACAGTCGCATTAATCCTGTTTTTGTGGCCATTTAGTTGAACTCTCTCAGGTTAGAACAGAATGAAGGACTAGACTGCGAGCCTTGTGTGATGTCTAACAGCATGATGTCTAACAGCCTGATGTCTAACAGCATGATGTCTAACAGCCTGATGTCTAACAGCATGATGTCTAACAGCATGATGTCTAACAGCCTGATGTGATGTATAACAGCATGATGGGATGATGATGATGACCATCCACTCGACTCTGGCTTTCCTATGCGCTAGGTGGGATTGTATCAACTTGTACATGTGATAGATTTTCAGTAATGCTATTTAGCTACTCTTCTGCCAGGTAGTCGTCACTATGTAGCAGGTCCTTTGCAGAACGTATTTCCTCTACAGAACATGCCAACTCTGTCTTCCACCAGCTCTCCCACTAACTGCACTTTCATATCCAAGGAGTCACTTATATCCTGTACCCATCTTGGTGAAATGTATGCTGGTCTCCCCATTACGCAGCATTTGACCCTTATTCATGCTTCTGAGGACGCATCTACATCAGGGGGTGTCACAGTTTTCAACTTCGTGGGACAAGATTAGGTACTCTAACAGAGCTTCAGTGATTTGTAAATCACTGACCTCTTTCCGGCGACTATACCGCCACCGCCGAGAGTATCCCCCGCGCCACTACATGGGGTGGGAAGGAGGTTGAACTAGATGGCTGGGACTCATGAGCAATAAAACGGAGGAAGCTGCAGGAGATGCTGTAGCTGCTGCTCGTGAGTCCCAGCCATCTAGTTTAGACACCGAGGGATACTCACGGCGGTGACTTTAACTCGGCGGAAGAAATGGCACTGGTAACTTACACATAATGCTGAACCTTATTTACTTCAAATTCTGCCACTTACTGCTTTAACAATAACTGTTAGGATTTACCTGTGCTGTTATTTTTACAATAAAGAGATCTGAAGAAAGCAGTATTAAGCTCACCTGCTTTCAGATCTATAATAAAAAGTGTGTAATCCTCAGGAACCAATCTGTTGTTTGGAGTTATACACTCATTGTTTCTATACACATCATAGAACCTTGACCCGCTGTCCTCTGGTAGCTGATGACAGGATCCTACGATGACAAATCGGCTGTCGTCTGTAAACAAACTACACTCCCTGTTGAGCACCTCCTCTCCCCCAGTCACTCGCACAACATGCCGCTTGTGGAGGAACTGGGAGAAGACTTTGCCACGGACGTGTATTGATTTGCCCTCATTGTTTTCTGGTCCTGGGATGACGTCACCCTTGATATTTTCTATCAGGCGGCCGGCAGCTTCTGACCCTTGAAATTCGTAGACTTCCAAAGATGTCTGGTCATAGGATATAGCGATGAAGTGTCTGTTGGATGTGGAAGAAACACATTAATGAGCAGTTTATTTTTTGCATTCTCATAAACACTCAGGGAAATAATGAAAAGCAAGACTGTCACCAACCATGCATGTAATTGGAGGCAACACAGGAGGGTTGGTACAAAATGGGCTACCCATCACAATGAATGCAAAACACAGCCAATCAAGATCAAGCCAATCAAGTCAGCCCAACCAATCATCATCAAGCAACTCAACATAGTATGATCAAGTCCACCCAATCAAACATGATCAAGTAGCTCAAGCAATCATGATCAGGTCAAACAAGGGGGTGGAGTGTGCTGGTTGAAGGTCAATGCTTTGTTGGGATTTGATAATGGGAAAACATTTTAAAGCAGTATCCTTCTTTTTCTTCTTGTACTTGTGTGTTCACCTTTAAAAAGGCAGTTGGCAAATATGTTGTGGTTTACAGATAGGATGTGATATCTCTGCTATTCAACCAAACATATTCAATTTCAACAAACCAATTAGTTGCTTTTTAAAACTTGCTTGCTTGGGGGCAGTGGATCTATCCCCCCCCCCCCCCCTTTTCCCCCCAACGTACCATGGGAAAAAACATGGGGCTCGGCAACCCACACGGGGAACAGTAGTATACAATCTCAACCAGTGCTGATACTTTTGAAGAAGTTTACACAACAAAAGATTATTATTCTTTGTTCTGTCATGACCTAACATTTTTTTTTAAAAAGTCTTCATTAATGGAGTCCCTGTGGGGGTTCCGGGGCCTCACTGTGGGGGGAAAACAAGAATAGATCCACTGCCTACCAAAAAAGCATGTCGTAAGAGTCAACTAATTGGGAGCTTCCTTCCAAGTCTAAGTGCATCTGCCTGAGAGGCAAGTAACCAACAATTTGTGCAAGTCAGATCTGTAAAACGGATGTGCATACACCACTCAGGTTCTGGAATAGGACTGTAGTCCAGAAGTGGATGAACAGCCAGAACTTTCTGCCAGAGTTTACAGCCAGTAAACGTGAAGAAGAAGAAGATTAATGAAAAGCTACCATATCTGTGCTTTTATTGCTATCTAACTTCAGAAGGAGATAAACTACATTCTTAGTCACATCATAAGTAGGTGAGTACATTGTGACAGTGGAAAAGTTGGAGGGAAAAGAAACAGAGCAAGACCAAGACAGAAGATGATGGACAGTCTGACATCATGCTACTGAAGATCATTTGTGTCAGAAGTCATTTACAAGTTCACAAGACAGAAGGCTGTGATAAGCATGACTTCCCCAACACAAGGCAAGGACCACAGAAAAAGAACTTCTAAACCATGTTTACTGTGATATTATTTGGACCTTCCTTCTCCAGCAAAGGCAACCCCATAGCAGATAATGCCAATCAGGTTTAATGTATGAAACCTTCACATATACAAGGGCTCTTACGTCATGAGGTGCTGATGCAGTACACTGCCTTGCATATCCTCTTTCAACTGCTAGACCATGCATGCTAGTTTACATAACATTTCCTTCATTGATATAATCAAGCTCTAAAAACAGGCAATCACTTCTTAGAATATTAAAAATATTTATATAAATATACTTACTTGTATCTATATAAAAGAATACATGAATGAATGAATAAAGTGCACTCAGGACATTCCCACATGTGATCCGTCCCCCATCTTCAGTAACCAACAAAGAGTTGACATGCTAATACAAGGTCCAACAATTAAGTAATAAGACTGATTTTATTAGAGACAAAAAGACAAAAATGCCATCTATGAATTAAAGCATGGAATCCAAATAAGTAACCTTCCTCTATGATCTAGCAACTTTTCATGGCTGCCCGATAAGCAGACAAAAAACAAGCCGCCATTTTTTTTAACCTAGGCAGAGGTGCATTGTTTCGTAATCAGCATGGAGCAAAAAAGCTAACATTAAATTCTGTTTAAAACTCAGAAAAAGTGCTATTGCGACAGTTGAGTTGATGCGACAAGTATATGGGGATAATTGTTTATCTCGTGCACAGATTTTCAGCTGGTATTCATGATTCAAAAGTGGTGTGGAAATGATTACTAATGCAACTAGACCTGGACGCCCAATTTCTGTTTGTAATGAGGAACTCATCACAAAATTCTGAGAACAGATACAAGAAGATCGTTGCTCAGCTGTGAGGATGATGATAGATGAATTTGGCGTTAACACAGAGAACTTTCTTAAATTGTAAGTGGAAGATTTGGGCAAGAAAAAAGTTGCTTGTCGATGTGTATCCAACACCTGGACATATTCTCCTACTTCATGACAATGCACAACTCAAAGGGCGGTGGCTGTACAGGAATTTTTGGCCCAAAAACAGATGCGTGTTCTTAACCATCTACCCTTTTCCCCAGATTTGTCTCCGTCACTATTTTCTATTCAAGTCACAAGAGGCTTACTTTGAATAAAATACAGGTTATTTATCCAACTGTTGATTATTTTAATTTGTATGGAATTAATCTCATTACTTAATTGTCAGACCTTGTAGTACCAGTTGCAACCTGATTAAAAGCCCACTTTTGTTTCTCCTTCAATGAATATCTTTCAGAACATCTATACAACCCTTGTTGATCAATCTTGCAGTGTATGGATTCCCTATCTGTTCTTTTGTACATGTGATCCGATAGAGCATGGTTCTCAACCTTCCTAATGTGGCGACCATTGAATACAGTTCCTCATGTTCTGGCAACCGCAACCATACAGTTATTTTCACTGCTACTTCATAATTTCAGTGAATATGTGTTTTCCAATGGTCTTTGGCGATCCCTGTGAAAGGGTCGTTTGAGTCACAAAAGGGTCGCGACCCACAGCTTGAGAACTGCTGCCAAAGAGCCTTCACCATGTCTGCTTTATAATACAGTAGCATCCAGAGGAGCAGAAGCAGCTAGTCTATTAGCCTGCTTGTTACTTTGCACACTTGAATATTCTGGACAGAAACTAAATTAAATGCTCCTGATCTGCGTCTTATCAAGTGATGCAAGCCACTCTGCATGCAGGACACCAAATTTAATTTTCTAAAGCATGCTCTGTGAGTCTGTTACAATTACAGTATGTCGGGCTGTGCTGCTTTCAAACCATTAGAAAGCTACTGTTACTGCCTCCACCTCCATTCTCATACTGGATGTAGTGACATTGTAAGCAAGGCACTTTTATTAATATTTAATTTACTTACTTTTATTCCTAGTAAATTTACTTACTTTCCATTAGGAGAAAACTTGCGCAGGTAACAAGGTGGTTTGTCGACATTAAGAATGCTATAATTAGGCACAACATGAAGGTAAAATTTTCGAGCGTCAACAAAAACTGTTCCCCGGCTGCTGTGCTGCAATTCTCGGTTTATCAATCTATGAACAATATTCTGTGACTCAAACTTCTGCCATTTAATGCCATCCTCCTGTGTATCAGCATCACCGCCCTTAGCAGTTGCCTCCATCCTGTTGGACAAGAATAAATCGTCAACATGAATATTTTATTTTAAAAAAATATAATACATGTGTTGATGACTATATTCTCTTCTGTACGTGACCTTAAAAGGGTGATTGGCATATGAAGACATTTACAGGAAGGCTGCAATATCCTCGCCTTTCAGCACAACATATCCTATTTCAAACCACTAATAAGTCATCTTTTATTACACATGTTTTGGGGTGGGGGGGGGGGGGGGGGTCTATTTATTTCCCCTCCAAATGGTTCCCCGAAACCCACCCAAGGAAGAACTGCTAAACAAAAGCAGCATTTCTCAAACAGAAACTACAAATAAAGATCATTAATTGGCCATTCAGTGCAAGTCTGTCTGCTAACTCGTTTCCTGGTGGTATGCCGCAGTGAGCAGGGATCCTTTGGAGAACAATTTGATTCTTAGAGTCTGTATATCTGGCGGCTCAGTTCTCTCGCCATGCTGTCTCGTTGATCTCTCTGAATCGCCTGGAGGACTGTCATGCAGTCACAAAGGAAAACAATTTTGCTGTTTTCAATTTTTCTATCTGCAAGCACTTTGGTTCCATCAACAATTGATTGCTGCTCTGAAGTTTGTTGAGAGTTTTCCGGAGGCACATGACATTTTTGCTGTGGTCCCATCTTGCAGCATGATGGCCGAACCAGCTCCTCAATTTTTTCGTACTCCCTCCAATGATCCATCGATGTATACGTTGTCCAGTCAGGTTTTTGGTAAGAGTTGTAGATATGTTCAAGGGTCTCTCCATGCAGTACTAGGTCACATTCTTCAGCCCTTCTGTCTATGCCAGGGATTGTTGTTGTGACTGTATAGTTAGGTTGTGGGTCTATGTTGTATGCCTGAATTATTTCCCAAATTAAAGGGCCTTTAGAAAGGATGTCCCTGTTTTTAGCGCAGACCAATTTTGACAGATGGTGAAAGCTTGGTCTTGTCAGTCAGTTTTTGGTTATTTGCTATTCTGTGCATGGAGTTATTGTTCATGCATTTCAATTTATCTGTCAAGGTAAGCACCTTTTCTTCCCTTTGATGGCTCAAGCTCTGGAAACCAGAAGTTGCTTCCAGATTAACTGGTGTGCTTCTCATACCTCCAGTGATGATTCCGAGACCAGTGTTTTGTATTTTGTCCAGTTTGTACAGTTTCATTTGGCTGCAGTGGAGTATGCTTCCAGGCCAAAGTCCAGTGGTCATAAGTTTTCTGTGTATACTTGCCGTACTGTGTTGGCATCTGCAGCCCAGCTTGTTCCAGTAAGCTTTATCAAACAGCCTTCTTCTGGAGAACGAACAAACTTTATTTTCAAAGCAACATCCCTCAGTTGTCTAATAGTCCAGTATCTCATGTGGTGTTAGATATCATGTCTGTAGTACCCTACAACAACAGCCTTCTATCTCATCCATTTACAATCATGTCTGTAGTATCCTACAACAACAGCCTTCTATCTCATCCATTGGCAATCATGTCTGTAGTATCCTACAACAACAGCCTTCTATCTCATCCATTTACAATCATGTCTGTAGTATCCTACAACAACAGCCTTCTATCTCATCCATTTACAATCATGTCTGTAGTATCCTACAACAACAGCCTTCTATCTCATCCATTGGCAATCATGTCTGTAGTATCCTACAACAACAGCCTTCTATCTCATCCATTGGCAATCATGTCTGTAGTATCCTACAACAACAGCCTTCTATCTCATCCATTGGCAATCATGTCTGTAGTACCCTACAACAACAGCCTTCTATCTCATCCATTGGCAATCATGTCTGTAGTACCCTACAACAACAGCCTTCTATCTCATCCATTTACAATCATGTCTGTAGTATCCTACAACAACAGCCTTCTATCTCATCCATTGGCAATTATGTCTGTAGTACCCTACAACAACAGCCTTCTATCTCATCCATTTACAATCATGTCTGTAGTATCCTACAACAACAGCCTTCTATCTCATCCATTGGCAATCATGTCTGTAGTATCCTACAACAACAGTCTTCTATCTCATCCATTGGCAATCATTTCTGATACAGATTTTCCTCCATGCCATGATGTTGAGCCGTCCAAACATTTTCTCCCTTGATCCTGCCCTACCTCTCCACTCAAACTTTATAACTGTCATGGATGGACAGTTTTCAACAACCAACTCATATATTTAGAGATCATTTTTAATTCCCACACTGAATAACAATAAACTATATGACTTGTAATGTCTCAGCAACCACTGGTAACGACAAACAAGACAAAGGTGATACTATGACTTTTCTTTACTGGACGAGAAACGAGCAGAAAGACACCAAACAGGCACTAATGGGAAAGAAAGGGATTGATTGAGAACCCATGATTCCATCCATGGTACTAAATTAATTGCATAGGATATAATAATATTATAACAGACTGGAGGAATGCTAGTTTTTCATTATTAAACAGGGTACAGTAACTTATCAATCAATATTATATTCAATCACAAATGCACCTTTTCACTATTTATTACTACAATATAATAAAACTATTATTAATAAATAATAGTATAGAGAATAGTAGTTATATACTTTCATAAGACATAAGTCAAGGAAGACAAAAAAGTAAAAGCTCTAGTCCAGCCTCTACTGAGTCTACTCTATAACTAACAATTTAGTAACAAAATACAATAGTCATACTACAGCCAACTTACGTTGTTAAAAGCTCAACTAAAAATGTATTTCATAGTAATATTATTACAAGCAAACTCTAATGGTAATCCTTGACAGATAAACGTAATTTTAGTGTAGATGAGCAAATCTGCAGTTAAAACCAGGCCTCCACTTTCGCTAAATGCCGATACCACTTTTGCAATGGTCAGAACAACGTCACGATTTTGATTCGAACTTTACGACCCTGTGATAGTGTTCAATTACGGAGTCCCAAAATGTTGAATTAAGAATCGATATCACAGCACTCGAGAGACCCCCATAAGCGCTCGGTCCCCATCTACTGCAGCAAGCAAAGATTTTCAATACCGATGGTACCAGTAACTGTCTGATTGTATATCCATCAAGCCCCTCCCATGAGTGTTATAGATATATAATTAATAAAGAGACAATATGACCGACACTCATAGAAAGAAGTAGAAAGATAGAAAGACGCAACAGACAACATAAAAATCGAAAGCTATAGTTACCGTGCGGGAATCGAACCTGTCACCTCCAAAACTAAGTGTGCGCCTCGCTATAGAAACAAGCGTATAAAGAACATGTTTAATGAGGCATCCCCCCCCCCTTTCCCGCCCGACCTCTACATTGGCACGTCTATCGTACAGTCAGGAAGACGCCTTTCCATTTGTGGCTTTCTCTCCTTAACAAACGGGGCTGCGTGGTCTTGAGGCATGATGTCCGCCACGAGTGCTAGAGGTTCCGGGTTTAATCCCCGGTGAGGGCTGCGATTTTTTCACGTGGACTTGGACTTCAAGTATTTCCCCTGGTTTCTGGGTAATGAGGTCGGACGCCCGTGTGCATTGTTGCTCACGTAAAAAATCCCTTGGCAGCTGAACATCGAAAAGAGTAGGCTAACGGCCCGGGCAAAAAAATTTCGAGTTAAAAATCTACCCAAAATGTTTCAGGATCCTCGCCATTGCTACAGAGCTTGTGCACTGTGCTGAGGTTCTTCGGACTCACACTTGAGTTAGGAAAAAGAACGGAGCACTTATGGGTTACTACCTGTGTGCCATGATGTTGATCCGTTGTGCAAACTTCAATCTTCTTTCAGCTTGAAATCCACAGCTATGAATTACGAACAGAATTCATCTCAAACCATTTGAATTAAACCATAGGTTACAGAAATTTATTAACGAATCATAGGCAGAATAACAGCAAAAAGTTACAAACACAGCCAACAGTAATGCTTTGTCAAGAATACACAATCCTTGAAACCCTATATATATATATATATATATATATATATATATATATATATATATATATATATATATATAATGAAGATACAACGTATTGACCGGCACTCATATTTCTTCTTCTTCTGCGTTCGACATCAGTCACACACATTGAGTCCCGTCTGGGTCAAAAATAGGATTGTGCGTTTAAGGTCGCCACCAGTCCCCCATAGCTTCTCTTGCAATGTGGATCCCCAGGGCCAGATCCACAGTCTTTGCTGGGAGAGCTAAGGGCAGTACTGCAGTATGTGCTCAGGGGTCTGTCTTTCTGCTCCACAATCACAGGCAGCAGATTATTTTATGCCTATCTTGTAAAGGTGTGCTCGAAGACCACAGTGTCCAGTCCGAAGTCTAAAAATTGATGTTTGTTCTTTCCTGTTGAGTTTGTTTATGCTGTCACTCTCTGGTCTGTAATCTCTGTTCTGCTTTCTCCACTCCCGCTTGAAAGACTGCTTTAGTGCTGTTTTGAACACGATCATAGATAGGTTCTCATAGAAAGAAGCAGAAAGATAGAAGGAAACATTAGACAACATAAAAATCAAAGGCAATAGTTACGGTGCCGGGAATCGAACCTGTCACCTCCAAAAGGCGTGTGGAAACAAGCGTACTAAGAACAAGGCAACCCCCCCCCCCCCCACCCCCAACAAGAACATCACGGGTAAATGTCAATATCTTTCAAGTTCTGCACTCTTGCATTGGTGAAATTGCAGAACCCTGGGGTAGTCCTGGGGCGATATTACATGGTTCTAAGGTTCATGTAGCCAGGCGAATGCAAGGCAGCTGCTATCCAGTTCACAAACCACGGACAAACTCCCTTCTCCGCGAGTGCAGTTACCAGCAGGCTCTGTGGACAGCAAAACTGGGTGTGGGGGCGCACTTAAGACGTCTTTATTTTATTCGTGGCACCTAGGTCCATTTCCAATCATCCCCACATTGTCCTGCTATTGGTTCACTATGGACAAAGCCGAAACAGTGAGGTCGATTAATTGCGCAACTTTCCTAATTTAAATCCAAGTCCTTGCGCAAGTCACTTTCATCAAGCTATCTCTTGTATAAAAAGTGGTCTTTCTCACTAGTGATGAATTAATCAAGTAACAGAAAGTATTGTGAACGGCACTCATAGAAAGAAGTAGAAAGATAGTTACCGTGCCGGGAATTGAACCTGTCACCACGTAAATTGTTGCTGTGATTGTTATTCGACATTTGCTTCGTTAATATAAATTTCTGTAACCTATGGTGCCATTTCAATGGGTTGAAATGAATTCTGTCCGTATTCCATAGTCGTGGATTTCAAGCTGTACGATAGACATGGCCAATGAGACACATTTTTTGGGGGGTGCCTAGTTGACCATGTATCTTAGTGCACTTGTATTCATGGCGAGGCGCAGACGCCGTCTGGAGGTGAGAGGTTCAATTCCTGGCACGGTAACTATGGCTTTCGATTTTTATGTTGTCTAGTGTGTTCTTCTATCTTTCTACTTCTTTCTATGAGTGCCGTTCACAATACTTTCTGTCACTAATGATGGGACGATCAACAAACTAGGCAATCTCTTGACGTAAAGTTTAAGAAAATAACGATCTGTCCAAGATGGCCGCCTCGTTGGGAGTCGGTGCTTTCAGGCAGCGGGCAAACTTACTTTTACCGAAAGCAGCACGTAGTATAAACTATTATCGTTCACCTCTGAAGCCTAGTTCCAGCCCCGTCAGATACGATGAAGATGTTGGTGTTGTGGAGTACCCTCCGATTAAGCCGAAGTACCCCCCAGGATCGTGGGGAAATATGGACCACAAATTATCTTGGCGCTGGCATGAATTGAAGGAGAACATGTTGCAGAATCGCGATGTGCAAGAGAGACAGAAACTGCTGCTCAGCAAAGAAACTTTAGCTATGTTTGAACAGCCCAGGCGGGAACACCGGGTTCACAATTTTGATGAAAGAGTAGAAGAGTTAATTAAGGATGCAGCAAGTGTCTTGAAGTTAGAGCAGTTAAATGAGCATCCCTCTAACCTTGATTTTAGAAAGTATGTAACAAAGACGCACGTATTCCAGTGGGAAGAGGTGAAACCTAGTGTTTTCCATAATTTAGATGGCGCAGTGGTTGAGGAAACAGTGAAGCTATTGAAGAAACAACTGTCTGAAACAATACGCATGGAATGTGATATTCAGCGAGCTGACATGTCACCAGCAGAACAAAAGAGTCATCGGTTGAGATCTGTGATTCGATGCATTGCAGACAATTTAATTATTGAACTTGGTCAGCACTTAAACCATCTACGAACCTGTCATTATGATGAGGATTTGGCAGTCAGAGCACTCTGGAGTCGGTACGGGATGCAGCGGAAGAAGAGGTTGTATACATATGATCCAGATGATGAGGAATATGAAACAGTGGATGATCAGCCAGTTTCAGTTGACTGTAAATTTGAGGCCATGGTGCGGAGTCATTTACCTCTACCTGAGGTAAGACCTTGAATACTCATCTCTGTGGTCACTAAAATCACTACTTTATGTACGTACATGGAATATTCTGTGTTTAGCTACTAGTGACTTTGTTACTTTGTTTAAACTGTTGTCTGATGCATTAACATTGAGGTCATCCTTAAAAGATCTTTGATCTGTCAGGGTGAGGTTTCACTATGAGTGCTGAGAGGCAAAGAATCAATAGTCTGTTGACAAATAAAGCAAACCTGTAAAACGGGTGTGCACAGAAAACTCTGGAACAAGACTTGAGTCAGAAGCAGAAAAACGACCAGAACTTTCTGCCATTCACTTGGTAAACGCAAAGAAGAAGAAAGGCGTGGCTGGTGTAGAGATGTCTCCCGAATTGGTGCCATCGCCACCAGTAATGATGTAGAGAACACCTTATTTTCAAGCAAAGTGTGCAGTATTAATGGAGGTATATTATATATGTGTGATGACAGTGCAGCACACATAAACTGACAAGGATTGCTCCTGGGCTCGTAGTGTTTCCTTGCTGCTGAGTTTGAAAATTGTAAGTCCACAGATCCAGCACTCTTCCGAATACCAGTCCCAAATTATTCACTGTTAAAAAAAATTGGCTCTCCTTTAAATACCGATCGTTAGCTGGAAAGCCGACGGTCGCTTAGTGGGAGTGCACTCCCTTGGTTGCAGTGCAAATACGGACCGTACAGAGGGAACAAAACAAATGACGTACTTACCTATCATCATACGGTTGCGTAGTCATCATACGGTTGCGTAGGGTTAGGGTTAGATGTGAAAATTTTGACGTAGGAGTTCCAAATAATGGCCGACAATGTGATGATTGTGGGAGTGGCGCCTCTGGAATTCTCCTAAATATGACGGCAGTAGCTAGCGCGCGGCTGGTGCCCAATTGATGGCGAATTGTCCTAAAAAAAAGTGACTAGAAGTGTCACATCTAACCGTAACCCTACCAACCCTAACCCTACTCCTAACCAGGCAAATGTGTCGGTCATTAAGGCATACAGATCTGCAGGAGTCATATCCGTGGCAACCAAGAGCACATATATATATATATATATATATATATATATATATATATATGGATATATTTACTAAAAATAAAAAACAACCAAGATTTCCCCAAGGCGTCACATAAACACCCAGATCTGGGGGAAACACCCAAGCATTGGCACTCCTGATGTCGACCTTACTGTCTGTTTTGATTCGTGACTTTTCCGCTCCGTATTTGCAATGCAGCCAAGGGAGTGAACTCCCACTAAGCGACCGTCGGCTTTCCAGCTAACGATTTATATTTAAAGGAGAGCCAAAAAATCCCATTCAGTATTTTTAAGAGGTCACGTAGTTAAAAATATGAAATAGGAACACAATGAACTATGCTTCGCGCTGTTATATAATTTCCTGGGAACCAAACTCTCGAGTCTTCACTAGTACAGTTGTAAGTTTTCTGCCTGTCACGCAGGTGACCAGTGTTTGATTACCCACACTGTGATACATTTTTTAGCCCTCAAAAGGGCAGTTGGAACGTTGTGTTGTGGTTTACAGCTAGGCTGCGATAACTGCGCCTTTCACTTCAACACATCTGATTTTAGCAAATTGCTTTTTCAAAACAATGTTTTCCCGTAATGAATTTAAATAATGGGGACACAAACAACACATTGCACAATTTATTGCCAGGTATATTTCGCTGTATCTCATCAGGTGTGTTACTACAGAGTTACATCAACATAAAATGAAGCACAAAACAATAAATCCAACTGAAATGCAAATAGTTTCTTCCGACACATCGTGTGTGTCTTTTGGCCGCCAGAAGCTCACTGTGGTCATGTGACCATAAAAATTTGCACCGAAGACCCACGGACCCGAAATTAAAACTCTCAGTTCAACTTTAGTACTAAATGGGTACCCCATAGGTTTCATCAAACGTCACTGTACCCCACCCAACCCTACGCCGAACGAAATTACGGTATCCAGACTACGAGTATTTATCCAACTGACTTATTGAGGTGATGACATCATGCAGACACTGCATGACATCATACAGCGAAATATGCCTGGCAATAAATTGTGCAATGTTTTGTTTGTGTCTGCATTATTTAAATTGCTCATTAGTCATCTTTGACTACATGCTTTTTAGGTGGCAGTGGAGCTTAAAAATGTGGCCCTGGAACCCACATATCGAGTCACGGGTAATGTGAACAATGGATCATAATCTATTCCTCCCCACGCTGCTTCTATGGATTGAAAACTAATTCTCCTCTCGGCGTTTAGTTTAACGTCTGAACATTTCAATCCATTGAGCAATACATTTTTTTTACTACGTAACCTCGTGAGGCTGTCAAAGGGGTGTTTTTCGCAGTGAATAATTTGGGACCGGTATTTGGAAGAGTGCACACAGATCCTAAGCCAGCACCTGGAAGGGTTCCTATTACCACAAAGCTTACATGTTTGTGGTTTGGGCTCCTAAGAGGTTTCTCTAGCTGTGGATTAGCAAATTATGTCAGTTTTTTTTTAACATCGCTCTGATACGTCTTACATGTGATGTTATCCATGTATGTAGACACTTGATTTTCTGTACTTGTCGCAATTCAATACCATTATTTTTATTTACATTTAACCACGATCTGTTATTTTGATATTACCATCAATATATGATATAAATGACTAACGAGTTAGCTTCACACTGTGGCTTCAACTCTTGCAGTCATCAACACAAGATTTCTCATAACGCTTTTTGCAGTGAAATTATATGTACTTTTTTCTGTTTTAATTTTGTATGTTTTTCATTTCTTTTTCAGTCATGACTTTATTTTTTTAATTAAATATAAATATTGCAAAGTGACTATCATGCTGTCTTCTCTATTATTTCTAGTTTGTTACCAGATCAGAAGAGGCATTATTGAATGTAAAGTTTCCAGAGTTACTCTATAAATTGTCAGCCTATGGAGAGAAGGAACCTTGTTATGAATTACCCACATCAATACTTGCAGGTAGAGTCGATTTATGTCTATTTTAAAAAAAAAACTTGTCTGAAAATTGTAAGAACCTGTCAACTTTTACCTTCACACACTCCATGTATCATCATCATCATCAGAATGTGCCCAGGATCCGTCATCATTACACACACACACACACACACATTGTCGTATCTCCAAGCAGCTGCTAGTAAAATTGTACACATATTTTAATGTTTGTTTTTAGGAAAGCTAGCAGTGTTTCCAAATTAAGCAGTTATCACTGCAGTGATTGTTAGTAGTTTATTAGTAACTACTTAGTGGCCCTCCATGTTTCGGCTGCATACAAGTATGTGGAATGTTGCTTTGAGGTGACTAGCTCAGATACTGTAGTCACCTTTCATCTGTGACAGACAGACACAGTGGTTCACTGGTGATTCAAGTACTGTAGTCACCAGTCATCTGTGACAGACAGACACAGTGGTTCACTGGTGATTCAAGTACTGTAGTCACCAGTCATATGTGACAGTCAGACACAGTGGTTCACTGGTGATTCAAGTACTGTAGTCACCAGTCATCTGTGACAGTCAGACGCAGTGGTTCACTGGTGATTCAAGTACGGTAGTCACCAGTCATCTGTGACAGTCAGACGCAGTGGTTCACTGGTGATTCAAGTACTGTAGTCACCAGTCATCTGTGACAGTCAGACACAGTGGTTCACTGGTGATTCAAGTACTGTATTCACCAGTCATCTGTGACAGTCAGACACAGTGGTTCACTGGTGATTCAAGTACTGTAGTCACCAGTCATCTGTGACAGTCAGACGCAGTGGTTCACTGGTGATTCAAGTACTGTAGTCACCAGTCATCTGTGACAGTCAGACACAGTGGTTCACTGGTGATTCAAGTACTGTAGTCACCAGTCATCTGTGACAGACAGACGCAGTGGTTCACTGGTGATTCAAGTACTGTAGTCACCAGTCATCTGTGACAGTCAGACGCAGTGGTTCACTGGTGATTCAAGTACTGTAGTCACCAGTCATCTGTGACAGTCAGACGCAGTGGTTCACTGGTGACTCAAGTACTGTAGTCACCAGTCATCTGTGACAGTCAGACGCAGTGGTTCACTGGTGACTCAAGTACTGTAGTCACCAGTCATCTGTGACAGTCAGATGCAGTGGTTCACTGGTGACTCAAGTACTGTAGTCACCAGTCATCTGTGACAGTCAGACGCAGTGGTTCACTGGTGATTCAAGTACTGTAGTCACGTCATCTGTGACAGTCAGACGCAGTGGATCACTGGTGATTTAAGTACTGTAGTCACCAGTCATCTGTGACAGTCAGACGCAGTGGATCACTGGTGATTCAAGTACTGTAGTCACCAGTCATCTGTGAAAGTTAGACGCAGTGGATCACTGGTGATTCAAGTACTGTAGTCACCTCTCATCTATGACAGTCAGACACAGTGGATCACTGGTGATTCAAGTACTTTAGTCACCTCTCATCTGTGACAGTCAGACACAGTGGATCACTGGTAATTCAAGTACTGTAGTTACCAGTCCGCTGTGACAGTCAGACACAGTGAATCACTGGTAATTCAAGTATTACTTTATGTAGGCAATTTAAAGCAAAACACACACAAAAATTGATCCTGTCTCCTAGGGCAACCAAGCTATGACTTGTATAGAAAATATTCTATGAAAGGTGGCTGACTGGATATTCCATCTTTAGAGTTCCGATTGATTTAGGAAAATGGGATCAGCTCGATGTGCACAGTACACTTAAAGGCATAGAAAAGGGCTCTTTATTTTGACTACTTAACATGGTGAAGCTGACAGGTGTGTCTGGAGCAGGTCTGAGGCATAGGTACATGTTTCTGACATGGACTTACACAGATATACTGGTTGTCCCAAAAAGCCATACATAGAAAAAAAAAATTTGTTAGGGAAAACTATTTCTATTTATCTATTACGCTCTACATGACGATCATTGTTTAAAAACACATTTCGATGCTGGTCTTCCACTGTGGATGAAACATGTGAAGCACAGCTAGAGTTGTTGGCATAGGTGTTTATTTGTACTTTGTATGGAAACTTTTGGCACAGCCTGAATCAGTTAGAGCAACGAGTTTAAGGCTCATCTGAGAGCGCCACTAGTTAGAACATTTCTGACAGACAAAAGAAAAACATCTTGAAGACTGTGATTCAATGATTAAATGACTGATTACAAGGTGAATTTCTAATAACATATAGGGTTATTTTTAAAAGATGCTTTTTGAATGGGATCCACTGTGGTGGAGCGGCTAGACACTCGTATGTGAATCCGAAGGTCATGGGTTCAAATCTAAATGATTTTTTTTTTTAAAGTGACCTTGGCTTCCAAGTCGACTAAGCCTTAAACGGTACCGGTTTAAGTCCTGGGAAGTAAAGGTAACAAGCAGGATGTCAACCATATCAGCCACCAAATATCGATTGTCTATAACATATAGGTCTATCACTGTATGGACTGAAAAGGGGGGGGGGGGGGAAGGGTTCTTTACTTTTGAGTTTTGACTGAAGGATAAGACAGAGGTAATATACTGAGCTTCAATGATGTTGAATATTGCATTGACTGCAGGATAAGACAGAGGTAATATACTGAGCTTCAATGATGTTGAATGTTGCATTGACTGCAGGATAAGACAGAGGTAATATACTGAGCTTCAATTATGTTGAATATTGCACTGACTGAAGGATAAGACAGGGGTAATATACTGAGCTTCAATTATGTTGAATATTGCATTGACTGAAGGATAAGACAGGGGTAATATACTGAGCTTCAATTATGTTGAATGTTGCATTGACTGAAGGATAAGACAGGGGTAAAATACTGAGCTTCAATTATGTTGAATATTGCATTGACTGAAGGATAAGACAGGGGTAATATACTGAGCTTCAATTATGTTGAATGTTGCATTGACTGAAGGATAAGACAGGGGTAAAATACTGAGCTTCAATTATGTTGAATATTGCATTGACTGAAGGATAAGACAGGGGTAATATACTGAGCTTCAATTATGTTGAATGTTGCATTGACTGAAGGATAAGACAGGGGTAAAATACTGAGCTTCAATTATGTTGAATGTTGCATTGACTGAAGTGTAGTTCCAGCAGGGATGACCATGTCTGATGAATCCAGTATGTTTATTACCTGTAATGTAGTACAGAAACAATAGGCATCTAGCGCATGCAGTATTTGCTCCCATGAACCAGCTTCTCTGGGTTTGCCTTGGCCCAATAAGGAAATAATTTCCTTTGAATGTGCTGATAACAGTTACAGTTATGTTCAAGGTAACGGCCGTCACTTCTGTAGGATATTAGTTACAGTTATGTTCAAGGTAGCGGCTGTCACTTCTGTAGGATAACAGTTACAAATATGTTCAAGGTAACGACCGTCAATTCTGTAGGATAACAGTTACAGTTATGTTCAAGGTAACATCCGTCACTTCTGTAGGATAACAGTTACAGTTATGTTCAAGGTAACGGCCGTCACTTCTGTAGGATAATAGTTACAGTTATGTTCAAGGTAACGGCCATCAATACTGTAGGATAACAGTTACAGTTATGTTCAAGGTAACAGCCATCACTTCTGTAGGATAACAGTTACAGTTATGTTCAAGGTAGCGGCCATCACTTCTGTAGGATAATAGTTACACTTATGTTCAAGGTAGCGGCTGTCACTTCTGTAGGATAATAGTTACAGTTATGTTCAAGGTAACGGCCGTCACTTCTGCAGGATAATAGTTACAGTTATGTTCAAGGTAACGGCCGTCACTTCTGTAGGATAATAGTAACAGTTATGTTCAAGGTAACGGCCGTCAATTCTGTAGGATAACACTTACAGTTATGTTCAAGGTAACGGCTGTCAATACTGTAGGATAACAGTTACAGTTATGTTCAAGGTAACGACCATAACTTCTGTAGGATAATAGTTAGTTATGTTGAAGGTAACGGCCGTCAATACTGTAGGATAACAGTTACAGTTATGTTCAAATTAACGGCCATCACCTCTGTAGGATAACAGTTACAGTTATGTTCAAGGTAACGGCCATCACTTCTGTAGGATAACAGTTACAGTTATGTTCAAGGTAACGGCCACCACTTCTGTAGGATAACAGATACAGTTATGTTCAAGGTAACGGCCACCACTTCTGTAGGATAACAGTTACAGTTATGTTCAAGGTAACGGCCAACACTTCTGTAGGATAACAGTTACAGTTATGTTCAAGGTAATGGCCATGAATTCTGTAGGATAACAGTTACAGTTATGTTCAAGGTAAAAACCGTCAATTCTGTAGGATAACAGTTACAGTTATGTTCAAGGTAACGGCCGTCACTTCTGTAGGATAACAGTTACAGTTATGTTCAAGGTAACGGCCGTCACTTCTATAGGATAATATTTACAGTTATGTTCAAGGTAACGGCCGTCACTTTTATAGGATAATATTTACAGTTATGTTCAAGGTAACGGCCGTCACTTCTGTAAGTTGTAATAAAGTATAACTGTTTTTTCCAGGTCATAGGTTGGGTGATCCATGTGAGTATGGCCTGGTTGGTATCTTGTCAACCTTGAGCACACATGAGATAGAAGAAAAGTATGGAGCTAAGGTAGCTCGGGACTGTCGACTGGCCAAGGGTATTACTCAGACATTTGCTTGGCTCGTGGCTCAGGCTTGTAATCAAGGTGAGTCTTTGTGTTATTGCTTGTCTTTTTGGTGAGTCGATTTTCTTTGTACAGGATCTACTCTACTAGAACTCTTGACTAGTAGGGACAGCATATTTAACCTCACAGTGGGACACTTAGTGACTCGATGAATATGCTTACAAAAATCCAGGCTGGTTTAATCACTCAGGAATGGATTGCAACACTAAGCACTTGACGAATGACTGCCCTAACCTTAGTCTTTCTGCCAGGTTATGCAGGTGTTCAATGCAGAATTTTTTTGCAGACACTGCAGTTGCTATGGCTGGTCCAATACTGGACAGAAGCAATGTTCAAAAGGGATATTATCGCTGCCATGCACAGCACATACCATGACGGTGAGAACGCCGAGGGTATGACTCTGTATCCCTGTCTAGGCTTATGGACATGGGGTTTTGTCATTGTTACAATATGGATGTTTCCTATTTAGGTTTAACCATGGATTTCATTGTTACAACATGGATGTTTCTACTCAGGTTTAACCATGAATTTCATTGTTACAACATGGATGTTTCCTACTCAGGTTTAACCATGAATTTCATTGTTACAACATGGATGTTTCCTACTCAGGTTTAACCATGAATTTCATTGTTACAACATGGATGTTCCTACTCAGGTTTAACCATGAATTTCATTGTTACAACATGGATGTTTTCTCTCCAGGTTTCAATCATGTGATTGAGCTGCCTTACCCTCTGACCAGTCAGACCATCCTGACCGATGGTGAGAAGTTCTCCTTCCTGGCATACCAGCTGAACACCCTGGAACTGTGGAAGGACAACACCGCCAACAGCAGGCTCAATCTCTGCTGGTACTCACAAGAGATGCCCTTGTTTCACAGCATTGAGGATGGAAAAGTGAGTCTGTTTGTGTCTGTGTTTGGTTGTATCTTATTTATAACTTTGTGAACTTAGTTTTTATGATGTAGTATTCCTTTGTTATAAGCTTGTTCAAGTGGCTCTCAAGGTGCACATGTTAGCAGTTCATATTCTGCACTTCTTCACTAGATATATCTATCTCTTGAGATACTCCATATATTTCCATCTGTTGAGATACCCCATATATTTGAGCCAAAACCTTGGTTGGCATCTGATATACAATGGAAGCTCTCATGGGCAGCAGGGCAGACTTGAGCCTCAGCTGGTATCTGATATACAATGGAAGCTCTCATGGGCAGCAGGGCAAACTTGAGCCTCAGCTGGTATCTGATATACAATGGAAGCTCTCATGGGCAGCAGGGCAGACTTGAGCCTCAGTTGGTATCTGATATACAATGGAAGCTCTCACGGGCAGCAGGGCAGACTTGAGCCTTAGCTAGTATCTGATATAGAATGGAAGCTCTCACGGGCAGCAGGGCAGACTTGAGCCTCAGCTGGTATCTGATATAGAATGGAAGCTCTCACGGGCAGCAGGGCAGACTTGAGCCTTAGCTAGTATCTGATATAGAATGGAAGCTCTCACGGGCAGGGCAGACTTGAGCCAAAGCCTTGGTTGGTATCTGATATAGAAGGTATCTGGGAGCTTGTGCAGCATGCATTGTTTAGAATGTAATGTTGTTAAGTTATAAAGATGTAGCCTGCTGTATGATCAACACATAGTCTCTACAATACTGCCTTAGTGTATGCTGTGTGAAGAAGAATCTTTACCCTTTTCCCACTTGTTCACCCCATGTCTGGGGCTCTGAGATTTCAAAGGGAATTTGAGGACGTTTTTCGGACAGTCTTATATTGTAGGGGTTTAGGTTCTATGTTAATCGGTGTTCTTTTATCACTAACCCTAAACACTCAAACTCCTATACTCTAGGCTTGTCACATGTTGGTTGTTTTCAGTGATTTGTACCTTTATTACATCATCATTTCTAGTTTGTGTTACTTTCATTCGTTCATCGGCATCACTGTGCCCCGTTTGGAAGCGGTGTTCTTACTTCATGACTTCGCCTTCGCCATGATTTTTCTTGACCTTTCAGCATTGCTGCATCTAACTCTGACCCACCAGTATACAAACATGACGACAACATTGCAGATATAGATAGTCTGTTTCTTTCCAACGAAAGAATCAGGAAACCAGTCCTAACACCCCTATAATATAGGACTGTCCAGGAAACTCCCCAGGAATTCCCTATCAAATATCACAGCATCTGAGATTGGGTGAAAAGGTGGAAAAGAACTTAAACTTTATCTCTAGCCCCAATTGTATAGCCATGAGCTGTGATTCCTATGTTTCATGTAGCAATAGGAATAGGAATAAACTCACAGGGAGCAAGTACAGCAGGGATCTACCAGTCATCAGTAGAAGTTATTCTCGTCGACAAGTGTTTCGGCCCACGATTCTCCTAGACACTTTCGGAGGTGGGCCCACCTGAGTTCATGAAGCTCAGGGCTGGTACCCTGCTGCACGAAATTACCGGATGGTGTTTTCCTTTGGATAGGGACAAGACGACTTAGTAATTTGTAGAAGGTACTGGGAGATAAGAAGTCGTTGCAGCAGCCTAATTAGACCAGTCAGCATACCTGGACGACCGAGCGACAAGCTTACGTTTGGTTTACCGGACACATGTTGGACTTTTGTTAGCAGGTGGAAGTGAATCACTGGCAGACAATTCGGACACGATGGACTTTCAAAGGGTGAGAAACCCTTTTCCACTAGAAACCTGGACCAGCTCACCAAGGCCCGTCCCCTACGTTGTTTCGTTGCGTCCGCATAATGTAACACTATATGGAAAGGCAGACAGGTGCCAACAAACAACTGAATAATAATAAAAACAACAATTCTGTGTAATAATTATTTCCTGTTCTTTGTGTCTTTTAATGTCCAATTACAGATATAAAGTAATAAATTCCTTTAATGGCCTGAAAGAGAATTGTTGTATGGTAATAAAACCAGTTGTTAACATGTTGCCTGTGAATTCTGGATAGTTAATAAGCAAGCAAATAAAAATCCCTTGAGGTCTGAAAGTGTGGTAATAAGTAATACAAATCTTACAGGTTTGTTTTATTTTATTCGTAGCGATAGAATGCATTTGTTTACAGAAGAAATATTTAAGAATGAAATCATGCAGTTATTTTTTAAATGTGTTAAATCCCAAGAGAGTTTGCAATGATTGTCCAATTGGGACATTAACCGTCTTGGACAAATTATGTTTTTATGACTGTCCATGTGGCAAATACTGTGCTGTTTAAAACTATCTAGCCAGACTTCTTGAGCATGCTCAGCCCAAATATAAAAGCATACAGTACATTGCCTCTACACAGATAATTGCCAGTTCTATCTGGTGCATTCGTTGTGACATTAATATGATTGAAATTAGTTTGCAGTAACTGTGCATCCTGCCACATGTAGAAATAATTGCAACATAATATAGCTAGGACAAAATTATTAGAATATCAGTTCATTTTCTTGAATTTTTTCTCCAGCTCAAAAAAAACTAATCTCAGTAGGAAAATCCATTAAATATGCAGACTAATTCATTGTTTGTAGGAACATACAGATAATTTCTCAAATAGGTAGCAGTTTTCTTGATCATGATCTGACCAAATGTAAAAGTAACCACAAGATAGATACAGTGTTTGGGGTACACAGAAAATGGTCAGTCTTGTTACATTGTTATTGGGACTGGAAGAATTCCAGGGGCTTATGTATGAGGAGTTAGGATAATGATGCACTCTTGCTGATGATGACAAATACTAGTCAGAGAAAGAATGTTGATGTCATAAATCACGATGTTATTGATGTTTTAATTAACAGGTCAGGGAATTGAATGACGATGTGCTAGCCCTTCTTGTAAAGATGTTTATGGTGACCCCTGAACTTCGACCTTATGACATGAAACCCACCGTGGATACTGACAGTGAGCCCCTCCATCTCAAGCAGGATTTTGTTCCGGAGAAGGTCGTGGTCGAAGAAGTTATTGAAGAAGAGAAATATATCATTGAATAAATACATGCATGAGTGGATGTTGGACGCAAGGTGTCGGTGATTTGTAATGTTAGTGGATGCGGATGTCCGTGATTTGTAATGTTAGTGGATGGATGTCAGCGATTTTTATTATTGATGGGTGTGAATACCAGTATATGCACTCTTACCAGTATATGGGTGTCAGTAAATCTTTTAGAGTATTTTGTAAATCATGTTCCATTGGTTCGGAATTATAGCTTCTTCTTGACGTTCACCAGCTTAAGTTAACCTCCTGTAGAACATTCTCATTTGTTCACTTCTGGATTTTAGTATTGTTCTAGAACTTGAGTGTTGTGTGCACATCCATTTTACAGATCTGGCTTATTTGTATGCAGTCTGTTGGTTCCTTGCCTATCAGGTGTAGGGTAACTTCGAAGGATTAGTTGACTCCTACAATGTGCTTGTTAAGGACACAGTAGGTCTGTTCAGGTTTTTCCCCACAGAAGTGATTACATGTGAGATTCAACCTTGTGGTGTAGGAATGTGTTCAGGTTTTTCGCCCACAGAAGTGATCACATGTGAGATTCAACCTTGTGGTGTAGGAATGTGATCAGGTTTTTCCCCTACAGAAGTGATCACATGTGAGATTCAACCTTGTGGTGTAGGTCTGTTCAGGTTTTTCCCCTACAGAAGTGATCACATGTGAGATTCAACCTTGTGGTGTAGGAATGTGTTCAGGTTTTTCCCCTACAGAAGTGATCACATGTGAGATTCAACCTTGTGGTGTAGGAATATGATCAGGTTTTGTCCCCACAGAAGTGATCACATGTGAGATTCAACCTTGTGGTGTAGGAATATGATCAGGTTTTTCCCCCACAGAAGTGATCACATGTGAGATTCAACCTTGTGGTGTAGGAATATGATCAGGTTTTGTCCCCACAGAAGTGATCACATGTGAGATTCAACCTTGTGGTGTAGGAATATGATCAGGTTTTTCCCCCACAGAAGTGATCACATGTGAGATTCAACCTTGTGGTGTAGGAATATGATCAGGTTTTTCCCCCACAGAAGTGATCACATGTGAGATTCAACCTTGTGGTGTAGGAATATGATCAGGTTTTGTCCCCACAGAAGTGATCACATGTGAGATTCAACCTTGTGGTGTAGGAATGTAATCAAGTTTTTCCCCTACAGAAGTGATCACATGTGAGATTCAACCTTGTGGTGTAGGAATGTGATCAGGTTTTGTCCCCACAGAAGTGATCACATGTGAGATTCAACCTTGTGGTGTAGGAATATGATCAGGTTTTGACAGTGTACTAGTTCATAGCTTTATTCATTATGATACCAGCTCCCTTCCATTGCTGTTTGCTTTATCATAGCCTTGTTTTCTTCCCAAAGTCCATGCCGAGTGGCATTGGTAGTCATGTCTATCTACAACCTTTTGTCTCATTTACTTTTAATCAACACAGATGATCGTCCATGCCATGATGTTAGACCGTCCAGCATTGTTTTTTCCTCGGTCTCCCTGTGCCTCTCCTCCTCTCCAACTTTCCTACTGTCATGATATACTCCAGTTTTCTCCTTATCATCACATGACCAAAAAATGTGGATTGTCTCTTTCTGATGTGGGCAATGAGTTGTTTTCGTGAGTCAGTTTCTTTTAGAAAGTCCAATAATTTTATAATAGTTGTGTCAGTACACAGTTACTAGTAAACTGTTGAGAAAATGTATCTTGTCTGTTGCCTGATATGTTTATGAATCAGTGAGCTTGTCATAAACACCCAAGTGTAGGATCAAGACCCTTGAAATTATTCATTAGGAAATATTCTTAGAATACCATGTATCAAAAAGAAATGCTGCCACTTGCAATATATGAACATTTAAAAAAAAACTGGCTCTAAAACAGCATTGTCTCAAAATCCTGGCACGAAAATGAAACTAATCCATGTCAGCCGTGAATGCTGTAGAGCCACCAACCACTGCTTTCAGACCCAGCCCTTCTCTATCTTCCTGAACATACACATCGAGTCACTGAGACAGCACGCCCAGGTGAAAGTCTGTCTCTCTAGCCATGTTACTGCTTTAGTCACAGCCAGGACCTCCATAGTCAGACTACTTGTAGCTAGGCAAAAGCTCCAGAATCTTCCTCAGTTAGATTTGTCAGTATCTCCTAACTTTCGCTAACTGAACAAGTGATATTTCATGACACTATGTCCTGTGCGGACTACAGAGTGATACTTGTCACTTTGATGAAGGTGGTAATATGTTTCATCTGTCTGATGGAGGTGGTAATATGTATCATTTGTCTGATGGAGGTGGTAATAGGTATCATCTGTCTGATGGAGGTGGTAATATGTATCATCTGTCTGATGGAGGTGGTAATATGTATCATCTGTCTGATGGAGGAAATGCTTTGCATCCCACTTAATTCTAAAGTTGCTTCTTATAACATTTTCACCCCACCACAAGTGACCTCTGTACCAGACTTTGCTAATGTTGAATCTTCCTAATTTCAACTAAGCCAAGCCTGTGCTGATAGCGGCGGTGAAAGTGCAGCACAAATAGCAGAGAGCCATGCAAGAAAACGAATGAAGATAAACTAGGGAAAAGAAAAGATTATAATTAAATGAACAAAAGAGTGCTAACAATTTTTAAACTGATATCTTCTTTTTCTTCACTGGCTGTTAGTTAATTAGTTAGTTGTTACGGTTCACAGCAAGAGAGCTTGGATCATAATTGCTCAACCGCCTATGCCAGTGATTCTAATCACAAAGTGAGGGGAGTCAGATACGCTGGATACTTCAAGTGAATGCCGTAGCCAAATAAAGTGTCCTCAGTCAGCAAAACACACACAATTTGATCTGGCAAACCATAAGGTTCATGCCACCTTAAACACACTGCGAGACCAGGCGTCATCGCTGAAAATGAACTTCATTCGATGAATAGTTGGGCGATGAGTAGATTAAAACTATTCCTGACCATTGTCCATGGCCAGCAAATAAACAGCAGCTATAGCACACGCCTTGTCCCAGGAACACGGCGAAGAAAAATACATCACCCATCATTGCTATAATGTACGAATCTGGAACTCAGTCAAAAACCGATAATCACAGCTCATAGTGCCGCCAGGAGCACTAAACTCAATAGCTCTGGCTGCAAACCGGACTTCGACAATCTTCCAACATCGAAATTGGAGGAGAAACGGCAACGAGAACGGTCAACATAAGCCACGTTCTCAGCCGTCATCCATTCCCTATCAATGTCGGAAGCGTAAGTCAACCGGCTGTAAACTCCAGTATATCAGCGTCTGTACTGTAGTCTTGTTCCAGAACCTGACTGGTGCATGCACATCCGTTATACAGATATGGTTTATTTGTATGGAGACTGTTGGTTTTGAGTCAAGCAGATGCACTCCGACTTGGAAGGAATCATCACTATTCAACTCTTACGACATGCTTGTTAAGGGTAATCGGCCGATTCGTGTTCCCCACTAGTGTGGCCCCGGAATCCATACAAGGTCTTTCACTGACACGATATCCACCTTCCGTTAGTAGACCGCTGTAGTTGAGGTCTTTCCTGTCTCCCTGAGTGCCTCTGTGGATGAAATGCTTGCTTTTCTCTTCCCATGGATCTCCGCCGATGGCAACAACTTGAGCACCGCTGGAGCCGGGACATGTGGCTGTGCTGTACAACCTCTGGATGTGACGGTTGTCAAAGATATCGATTTGGACACAACGCCTAATGCTGATCTGCTTACTGCACCCGTTAGGGTGGGACGCTGTAAACGTCAACGGGTGCACAGCCGTGGCCTCATTGGTCGTCTCCTTCTGGTACCAGACGGGGGGACTATTTCTGGTTATTCGTGCCTGTAGATCTTGTCTTCTCTTGACCAACCAACTCATCAATACTATTGGCCCAAGTCCAAATTATGGGTTACGAATGACATTTCACACCGGTCCTGGTCGACAGTACTGGCGATGCACAGAAAGCTCTGGGGGTAACCACCATATTGCGTGGGTGCGGCAAGTTCCCTTTATCATAAAAGATGTAGCAAGTGGTGCTTGACGCTTCTGGAGCATCAAAGACAACTTGGGCAGCCGTGTTTATGTTAATCATAGCGAGCTGTGCTCTTGCCATCTGAGAATTCATTCTGTACAGGAACACGTATCACCTTTGCTGTAGTTATTTGGGTATTTTACGATCTCCCTAACACCCCCGCCCTTCTCCCGTGATTACAGTGACGCCCTTTTTACCCTGTCTGCCGTGACACGGGTAGGGTTGGTCGCTGTGGGGTATCTTCTCCGGTCTGTCAATGCTGATTAAACCGATCTTCACTTGAAGAGTCAAATCTGAGACAGCTTTGACGTAGTCCAGAATGTCGTTGTCTTGGAAAGCAAGCGGAGGATGGTTCATGGTGAACTGGGCAGCAGGGGTGACGTTTTTATGGCCTGGGTTTTTCACACACCCAGCGTAGTGTTGATGAATATCTGCCTCGCTTTCATAACTGTTGCGTGCTAATTTGGAAGAGTGTAATATTGTGTGAAGGGACAGAGTGGTATGATAGTACTTTCCTGGGGTTCAAGGGGAATAGTGTCAACATTGGCCCGAGTAGTGAGGGGGAGAGAATGTTGAACAGTGAGAAGTGTTGTATCAGGAGAAAGTAGATGCGTGGGTTCACTGTGTGGAGGCTAAGCATGGCTAACGAAACGCAAAGAGAAAAAATGAATTACGTAACAGCGTGATGTAACATCAGCCACCCACATAAGCGTGATTCCAGAGAACGCCACATGAGCATGATTCCCGAGAACGCCCACATGAGCGTGGGCCTCGAGAACGCCCACATGAGATTGGGCCTCGAGAACGCCCAGAGCGTGGGCCTCGAGAACGCCCACATGAGCATGATTCCCGAGAACTCCCACATGAGCAGGATTCCCGAGAACGCCCACATGAGCATGATTCCCGAGAACGCCCACATGAGCGTGAGCCTCGGGAACGCCCACATGAGCATGATTCCCGAGAACGCCCACATGAGCGTGGGC